AGGCTGTTAAATGCTTAGTTATTCTGATGTGCTTGCAGACTGCATCTAGGCCAAGGTTAATTAAATCAGACAAAGGCTGCTAGCAGAGATGATTGTTATTATTAACTGTAATGGTAAGGATAATATTTTTCTTAATGTGAAATGTCATGTCACAATGTTCTAGATACACACCACAAATCAACAGCCACGCACCTTGACTTTCTTCATGTTTTGACTATTGTTATGGTCAGCTGCAAGCTGGCATATCAGGTGACGTCTCGGCTTGACGTATGCCTGGGTAGAATGGGGCTAGCTCATCCAAATTATTAAATTGTATAGCCATTCTTGGTTCAGGGTCTTTCATCTCCAAGCTGCCTGCGTGCACGTTTGGTGGTGGGAGAGATCTGGACGTGTAATGTCAATTTTACCTGTGAACTTTGAATAAACCAGCACGGTTATTTTGTATAAAATCCAAGTGGCCTACTTCGTCTTTGTGAGTTCCTGGTTTGAAAGAACCGGACGAGGCTTTTATAATGAAATTGAGCCTATAACGTAATGTAATGTAAAGACTTATTATCCTTGGCTTGCTTTTCCCCGAGTAATGCTCTTTCAATATTTTCAGGGCTTTCCCACCATTATCAGCAGCGTCATGTCTTATCAATGATAAACTTTTGTCATCGATCAATCTTATTAGCTCGGCATAGCAATCGGCATTCTTTTGTCTGTCTTCAGACAACTGTTCTTCATTAGCTCCACTAGGTTCATGCAGGATTGTTTCCTTTAACTTTAAGATATGTAAGTGACCGAGAAATCTTGCTTCCCATAAGTCATACTTGTCTTCCGACCCATCAAATATTAGCTGTGGCGCCATTAGCCCTGATGCTCCTCTGCCCGCCATTTTCGAGTGCGTCTTATTATACTTTGTTCTGGTACTCACTTTTCCGACGTTCGTGTAATACTTCCTTTAGTGACTTTGCCATTTACTTATCCCCAGGTTGGTCCATTTCCACTGTAGAAGCTCCGTGTAATACGTCGCGGTAAACTTCTAGTTGTTAGCCGTCGTCGTCGCCGACTTGCCTGGGCCCATAACCTGTTGGACAGGGTGCGCAGTCCACCCCTTTGGCTCGGAATAAGAGAAGGGGGAGACTGGTCTCCAGCTCTAAATATTCTGTCTGCCCAGCAACACGGGTGGGTGTCGTCTTTCAACTTGATCATAAAACATGCAAATAACCCTGATAACTGACAAGGAGACCCACCAATAGGTTGTAAACAGCCACATTCATGACAGCCAACAGCAACTGGCCATCTCATCCAAATGCGCCCTCCCCTGCTTGTCTGGCTGGGCTGGGGGTTGGGGACTGGTGGTTGTGTGTGTGTCTGGAGATATTCTGAGTGTATGCTAACAAAAACATTAATTAACATACTGGGACCAATATAGAAATGATGTAGGATCACAATGTACTGTGGCAGGGGGATAGTAATGCTGTCTGCTTGCTTCCTGACTTCTCTGGATGTAGTGATGTCAGGTAGGCTGTGGCATTGCTCTGTTGTCTGCTTGCTTTCTGACATCTCTGGATTTAGTGATGTCAGGTAGGCTGTAGCATTGCTCTGCTCTGCCTTCTGACGTCTCTGGATGTCCTCTTCTTTAACATCGGAGGGGGTGTACTGTCTTACGGAAACATTGAAACATCAGTGTCTGTGCAGTCAGCTAAACAGCACAATGAAGTCAGTTGGTCACTGGGTAATGGATGAAAAATAAAAGTAAAAATAGAAGCAGTTAAGGTACAGAATTGGGTGGAATTAAGAAACTGATTAAAAGCAGTGGAAAAAGAATAGTCTTTAGTTTAGTTTTAAAGGTGGCTACAGTTAGGACAGATCTAAGTCCTAATGGGAGCAGGTTCCAGCTGTGGGCAGCGTAATGGCTAAAAGCATTTTCACCTTGTTTAGTCTGAACTCTAGCTGACCAGTCCCTGCAGATCTGAGACACCTACCAGACCTATGCTCAGCAAACATATCTCTGATATATTTTGGGCCTAGACCATTGAGAGACTTGTAGACAATAAGTAGGACCTTAAATTGAGCTCTGTCCTGATGGGAGTGGTCTCTTCCAGGATGACGGTGCCCACATCCATAGGACATGAGAGGTCACTGAATGATCTGAGTATGAAAATGATGTGAATCAGATGCTGTGGCCTTCACAGTCACCAGATCTCAACCAAGTTGAACACCTATGGGAGATGCTGGAGTGACATGTTAGACAGAGTCTCCACTACCATCATCAAAACACCACGAGAGAAAATCTGTTGGTAGAATGGCGTTCATCCCTCCAGCAGAGTTCAGAGGAGAGTCAATGCCAAAGTGCACTGAAGCTGCTCTGGCCCAACACCTTACTGAGACACTTTGTGCTGGTTTGCCCGTTTATATATCACCCATCTGCACCTGTACTGTGGGTGAGTTACTAGTCTTGCTCAAGTCTTACAGGTGACCTGTGACCTTTTCTTTACAGGACACTACACATAAAGTGACCACCTTGAAGTTTAGATGCATAAATAAATAAAGAAAACAAAACAACTGGAAGTTATAAGTAATCCTTTATAAATTCTGTAGAAAACAATATATTTACATTTTTACAGACTTTTCATATACATATAAATACAGAGTGATCTATAACATTAAAGTCAGTGCTGTATAAGCTGTATTTGACAAATGTCAAGAGTTTGGCAGATGAGAACAAAAATGTTCAGTAATATATTGTAGGCTCTTAATTGTGCCTTTTTAAATTTTGTATGTAGTTACATTAGGAAAAGTTTACAAGCACAAAGCCTGACGAAGAGCCAGAAAACTGCTGAATGTTCACGCACCCCTTTGACACTCAAGGTTCAGAGTATTTGTTGTCTGATAAATGATGACATGTCTTTGGCCCTGAAACTGGACATGTTTAAAGCGTCTTAGGGAACACAAGATGATAAGAGATCACGAGTCCGTTCCAGTACCAACACTTGCGGTATTGAATACTTTTAGGACATGTCACACACTGTAGTCCATGTCTGAGAGGTGTCACTATAGAGCAGTATATAGAGGTGAGTGTATCCCAGAATTCACCATGCTCTCTTACCACTGAACTTTATGACACGTTGGACTGAATGTTATTTCAGTTCGAACAACAAGCAGTTATGGAAGACCCTCCACAGGGTGGTTATCATTTAATATCAAAAATCTATTAACCTCGATGAGACTGATGACAATAATACTGTAAAAAACACTGCAAAAAAAAAGGAATGTTAAATTTTACATTTTGTGAAATCCTTACCTAAATATTTAATCAAGCAAAAACCCTTCAAAATAATAGCACACCATGTGTTATATATACAGTAGGCTGTTGTGCCTGATTCCTGAATGAGTCATCTGATTGTAATGCCACGTACACTCACCAGCCACTTTATTATCTACACCTGTATAATTGTATGCAATTCATTACAACACTTCCTTCTTAACATCTGTGTTTATGAAGCTCAAAATGTTTCAATTTTTGGTGAAATTGTCATAAATGTATAAATTTAATTATATGTGTATTATTGAAGTTGTAGTTAAAGGTGGTGTTGTACTGGACTGCATTATATTCAGAGGTTTTCTTAATATACTGACCCAATCGTATATGTAGCTGGGGAGGACAAAAACATAGAGACAGATATACAAATACCATAAACAGATTCTTAGAATCCCACAGGGATCTGGACCTAAACTTGAACTGAATAATCTTTAGCTGTCATTTTGTGTCAGAGCGCCCCTCTGTGGATAAATTATATCACAGGCCCCTGACTGGTCGAACTGACTGTCCTTCATCACTTTTTCATTTCACCCTTGCTTAATATATTGCAGTTTGAATAAAGTAGCAACACATTTGGTCCATTAAAAGGTTTGCCAGATTTTTAGAAAGGTTTATCTTTGTCATAACTACAAGCTTTAACAATAAATGTGTATTTACAGTAATTGCACATAGGAGGAATATGACTGCTTATTGTGTATGGATAGGAGTCTAGTTTGTCTTAAAGTAAGTTAAATAAAGTTCCATTTATCATTATGCATTTAAATTAAGAGTTACTCTCCTTGCTGCTTGTCATGAAACTTTATGATACATTGTGGTGCAACTGCAGGTGAAAACACATCATTTCTCTTTTGCGCTGAAAAGTCTGAGGTGTGATCCATTGTGACAGTTCTTTAATCTGTGGGAGTGACTTTATCTCCGTGTGCTGTGGACAAGGATCACTTTGCCGGGGCTACCCCTTTTTCCTGCTTTGGTGTCCATCAGTTTCAACTGTGTTTGTTTATTGACTGTGTCGATAAGATGCTCAGCGTCTTTGTGTAGGGCTTCTGCAGGCACAATGAGCCGTGGTGAGGAAGAGGGTGGCTGTAGTAGTGTTCAATCAGAGCTGACAGAGAGCTGAAGGTCACATCACTTTCCAGAAAAATGCAGTCCTCCTGTCAAAACATTCACAGAGAATAGGAGACTTTTAAAATGGACTGTAAATAATTACAATTTTATACACAGAGTCAAATAGACAACATTGGGTTACTTACCTCTTCAAATATTCGGTAGTTTCTGGCTTTGCTTATACTGATGTCCCAAACCACTAGCACCTGGATAAAGAAGGGACATGGAGATAAGGATGTGACTTTGTGATGTTACTGGACATTAGCCCAAAACATCAAATGTTGGCAACTTCACTGTAAACCTAGTGAAGTTGGTTTTCCCAACAATAATCATGATTCACACCATGATGTGAATATTAAAGAGCAGGTAAACACAACATTGACAGAGCAGTGACTAAACATGAGATGAGATACTGTTTAAAAAATGTAGTATTCAAAGGATATAATTTTGTTGTTGTCTTCCTCTCAGGCTGCATTATAATTCAGAGGATATTTTATTATTCTTTTCATTTTGAAGTAACTGACCACAGCAGTGTTTTGTAGTCTTTTACCTTGGAGGTTTTGGTTCCGGAGTTCCTGATGCCGTATAGTCCATCCTGTGGCTGGCTTTCACTGTCTCTGAATAACCTGCAGGTACAAACATCATCACAGGTTACAGGTTATCATGCATAAACAAATGTTATTGTAGATGAAGTAAATATGGAGTCATTTGCAAAGGATACAATTAATGTATTTTTCTTTTTGTTAATTTATCGAATTAACATTACTATATTGGTATGAACTGTAATGAACTGCTGCTGCAAATAACTGAAAAAAGTGTGTATTCTTTCCTTCCCATGTATTTAACTTAGATTTAAATTGGTGTTAATAAAACATACTGTATGTCATAAACAAGAGACATAAAGTCAGTGTCAATCAAACAATAAAGCCTGCGAGATAAAGCTGTAGAAGGCAGAAACAGCACCATAGCTCTGGCTTGCTAAAAGGCTATTTCAGTTTACAGGTCTATGCTAAAAAGTATATGTCTCATACTTTTCTACGAAGCTGGTTTCAGTCGTGTTGATGAACACCGAGTCTGGCAGCTGTACCTGTGGAGAGCAACAGTTGGTTAAACAAACTGTAGACAACATGGTTTTTGGAGTAATGACTCTGATCGATAATGGAGAAAAGATAGTTGGAAAAAAACAACAACTGGTCTACACACATTTATTTCAATAATGATGATGTTGCAACATGTGATGACTAATTCAAAGCATACACAAACAAATAAATAATTAAAATCTGTCAACTGCAACACAAGTTCCACATAAGCACACACATCCTAATAACAGGTATAAATATTAGCCCGGCCTCCCAGCTGTTAAAGGTGGGCCAATAGTACGTATATTTTTTTCCAATAATCTTAAAATGAGTGTGAGTTTTTCCACAAGTTTACAAAGGCTCATTTATTACCACTGGCTCTGAAAATCATTGTGAAAATCATTTGACCAGTTCAAAAACTCACTGAGCCTTATTTGAGATCACACAACTCATTTTCAAACCAGTACATTGTTTTCTGATGCAAACAAACAGAAATATACCAGTATTACTTTAAACTCATAGCTGATCTGTAAAATGCCCAATGTAGCTTTTTTTTTTTAACTATCCTACTTTGAAATGAAACACCACATGTATTTACAGTTGAGGCAGGATGGAATGATGTTCACAAAGCCTGAAATACAGTGACTGCACTGTAGACATGCATTTAAATGACCAAAATGTGTTTCATATGCTTGAAACCATATGAAGGGGGGATAAGTTATTTGCTCAGTGAACAAGACAAAAAGTGTCAGTGGTTCGAATAGATCAGAATATGAAAATAGAGCAACACTGATTTGTATTATGACTTCTTATCCAAAGCACAGTAATTCAGATGCCTGCAGTGAAGTTTGATATCAGTTTGTCACGTCTCTCTTACATTCTCATAGTCCTCGTCAGAATCATCTCCTCTGCGATATTTGGGTGAATCTTGTTTCCTTCTGGACTCTGAGGGCGCTTCGTCTCGGAAACTCTGGCCTTCTGGAGAGGTTCTTCTGGTGGGAAAGCATGTTTTAGTCAACAAACCTAAACCTGACTTTTTTTCCCCAGAGGACTCATTCCTGCCCCTTGGTCTTGTTTTCAAGGGGAATTTTAACTGCAGAGTCATTATTTTTATTTTGTTGATGTTCTGGCATGATATTTTTCTTTAACGTTTTTTTTTCCAGTTTCATATTTATTCAGTAAAGAAGCTACAACATGTGAAGCAGACACCTTTGGAGTTGCTAAAAGGTGTATTTTTTCAGTTTGATAAGAGCTAGGCTAACAGTTTCCCTTTGCTTCCAGTCTTTGTGCTACGCTAGGCTAAACACTCTGTAATGACTGCACACAGATGAATCTGATATCAGTATTCTAAATTACACTTTTAAGGTGATATGGTAAATAAGAGAATGTCTTAAAGTGTTCGATTGTTTTTACAAATATTGTGTTTTGATTTTTGTGTGTGTGTTTGAATTTGGCTCACTGAAGTAGGGATCCTGGCTGCTTGGGCTTGGTGGCAGGAGGCTGGGGTTTGACAGCAGGCAGAGGAGGTTTGGGTAACTCTGGCTTATTGTGCAGTCCAGTTTTGAGTATAGGAGAGAGCGGAGGGTAGCCAGGTGGTGGTGGGCAACTGGAGGACATCTGGTTGACGGACAGGGAGTTTGATATCACAGGTTTGCGAGCTGCTCCTCCAGTGTTTGTGGAATGAGGAGAGGGTGGGTTCAGCTTGCTGCGGTGGTTGCTCATCTCTCTTTGGTGGTTGTTGCCCAGTGAATGGTTGGCCACAGCATTAAGAGAGCAGTGGGCAGGACCATTTAAGCCCAGCCTAGTCTCTAATTGCTCACAGATGGGCAGAGTGGCTGGAAGAAGTCTCCAGTTTCTCTTGTCATTTCTGGGCCCCTCCAGGGATGACGCCCTGCTCGGAAGAGTTTTATTTAGGTTATCAGAAGGAAGAGGTGGAGAGGGTTTTTTCAGGTGGGGAGCAAAGGGGAGCGGAGGAGATGGGCCCTTGCTGGCGTCTTTTAGTATGGACAGCGAGGGAGCAGATGGTAAGGGTTTTTTGGAGAGAGAACTCGTTGGTATTTTGTGTAGTGGTGGAATAGGAGGCAGACATTTGTGGAGACCTGGACTGGAGTCTTGATGGAGCTGCGACACCACTGGCACTGGGGGAGGAGGGTAGGAAGGGGGTGGTCCCATGGGCTGATCTGAAGGTGTAAGATACAGAAAAAAAATCAGACTGGCCAAAGATCAAAGATTTTTATTGTCAATTCACTATATGTGCAGGACATACAAAAACGCGAAATATAGTTTCTCTCTTTTTCTTGTTTTAACTATAGTTTCTTTTGCTGTTTCTTTATACAGTTTCCCTGAAATTGTATTATGACCAAAATATACAAAATTCAACAAGTTCCTATGTAAAAGAGATTCCCTTCCCCCAGTTTTCAAGCTATTTAAATAACCCCCCAAAACATTCCTGGATATATTTTTAAGCAAATTATTATAAAACCAAAAATTATGACATTTAAAGATTAAGAAATATTTAGAATTTTTATGTGTGCTCTGCATTATCTTCAACTTTCTTCACTAAATTTTCTTCTATTTGTCAGTTTCTCTTCATCTTGTATTTAATTTCCAGGCATTTCTAGTTTGTATAATTAACAGTGAGCATCACCTGGCACCGGACAGTCGCTGTCTGGCTTCAGATAGTCTTCTTCATCTTCATCATCCTCCTCCTCAATATAAGCTACACACAGAAATAAGATGTATGACAGTTTAATGGCACACAGTTTTGACATGTGAGTTATGTGCGTGTATTCATTAAGGTGATCTTACCATCTTCTAAATTATCGACAGGATGTTTAATATCCATGAGCTTCTCAATTGTGCCATAGAAACTGTCGGCATCTAAATCTGAGTCACTAGGGCAACAGAGAAATAGACATGTGACAGTCAATGTGCAGAAAAAGATTCCGATAGATAGATTGAGTAGTTAAGATGTCGCTAATATTTATGTATTAAAGATATCCACAGAGTATATGAAACTTGTGTGTTGTGAAATGTGATGTGATTTGATGAAGTTACCTTTGCATTTGGGCCTCTTTTCTGTCATTATAGTGATCTATCTCCCTCCGCAGGAATCGCATCCATTTCTGTAAGACAGAAAAAACAATAAATATCTGTGTATATATGAAATTCAAATATTGGTACACACCTGTGTTTATTTTATTCCCTGTGGTGAACACCTGTTTAACATCAGAATCCCACTCAAAAACTAAGCAAACCTTTTTGTACCACTATCCAGAATTCTTCAGAACAATACAGAGACATTTTTGTTATTTGCAGCCATAAGGGGACTGATATCAATCTCTGTACAATTAGCACAATGTTAGCTTCATGAGGTGTTTATCCTAACTTAGCACCTTGGCTGAATACACGGGAACAGTCCGAGCCTCATCAAATGTGCCTTTCAACAGCTCAGAAACGGCTTTTTTTTTTACATTTATAACAACAACTGAATAACTAAGCTTTGTATCTGCAAGTAGGTTTTCAGAAGTTTCCAGCGTCACACACTTTTTTACATTTTAAATCAGGCAATGTATTTGAGTATCTTTATTCTTTTGCTTATGATAGAAGCTGAACGCTTCCTGTGCTTTCACTCCAGGCTAAACATGTCATGCAGCTGCAGATGGTTACAAATTAAAGAAAAAAAAAACAAAAAAAAATGAAAGGTCTTTAGCTGTTAATCTGCCTCGTTTGTTTTCCTCACGTTTTTGCAACCCTGTTGACTATTTGCAACAAAACCTTTGATAGTCCGGTGGTCATGCCTCAGTAGCTTAGGCATATGGTTTGGAATTGGAAAACATGCATAAAAATAACAATATGGTCAAAATGCGCACTTGTCTAATAATTGTGCAGCAGTGTGTTTAAGAGAATATAGGGAGAATATAAGGGAGTATCCCAGCATATCAGACATTTCCTTTAACCAAGAAACATTTGGCTGCACAGGACAGTGCTTCATTTTTGCCAATGTATAAAATTGTAACAAAAACAAACAAACTATAAACCACTACTGTAATCCAAGCCCAGTTTTTCATTTACTACAAACTTAAACTCTTCTCACCCTCCTCTCATCCTCACTGGCTGCAGAGAAAAACCACGTCCTGTGTTTCTTACTGAAGTGGATGATTTTAAAAGGAAAAACATTGTTGGATGTTGTCTCCTCTGCTGCTCTCATGACTCTGTGGAAGTGGACAAATGTAAGCATTAAACATGCACACAAGCTTCAGGCTCATTAGACCAGCGTTTGAAAATCTTGATCTAATGTGCGCAAATCACAGGGTGTATATAAAGATGGACAACACATGACCACTTCCTGCCACTATGCAAAGTAAGCCAGAATGTCAGGAATACAGGGCCAGCCATCTTGCTTTTGTGATATATTTGGCAGTCAGATTCTGCACTGTAGTGACCAGAGGTGGAGCCATAGTATCAGACTGCCAATCAAATCAATCATCAATTGAATGCCAATCAATAAATAAATGCAACCAACCACCGGTAGTGACCGAGCTGCAGTGGCTTCACTTCGAGGAAGCTGACACATCATCCATCATTATATACAGTCTACTGTATGGTGTAAAGGCAGTCTACGTAGAGTCACTTCAATATCAATTTAAAGAAGGTACAGTTATAACCAAGGTGTCTTAGCACACCTATAACAACTACAAGGAATATTTTTTTGTAGTTTAGTGGACATTTGTCAAGTTTGCAGTAATTCTAATGAAGTTCCACAAACCTGTTGTAGCCATTGAGAGAGAATGCCCCCTGTGGTGAAGGAGAGGTACTGGACTTAAAGTAGTACACACAGCCCTTGTGGATGATAATGTATCTCAGTGGCCCTGTAAGACAGGCAACAAATACTAGGAATGCTTCTGAGGTGGAGACATTGTTTGATCAATAAAGAGAATATCACTGAAGATTACTATATATAGGCAGATGTTCCTCCTATCTCTATCCATCCACTTTTAAATTGTTCTTATGAACTCACATTTCATGATGCTGAACTGGCTGCCTCCTTTTTTGTGGAGGTATCCTGCGATGGACACTCCTCCAGGCATGGTGAGGAGGTTCTGAGCTCCGATGGCTCGCATTGGCAACGGCCAGCACACCTCTGGAAATGACATGGTTCTGCAGGAGAAGAGAGGAGAAGGAGGGGAGAGAAGGTGAGAGGAGACGATCAGGGCACTGCTGTTGTATACTGCATTATGTTTTGTTGTACTCTGCGGAATAAAGAAGACACACAAGAATCAGAAAAGACTCAAACCCAAAACCTGTTTGTTACCAAACCTCCTTCCTGGATGGGAAGCAGCTAGAAAACACTCAGGGAGTCTTTTCTCCTAATAAAGGTACAAATAAAAAGTAACAAAGAAGTGCAATCTTTTGGCCTATTTTACAATGAATGTGAATGTGTGATTGTGTTCTGTACTGTTCTGTAGCCGTGTTGTTGCTGTCTTGGCCAGGCCTCCCTTGAAAATGAGATTTGGAATTTCAAGGGGACGTTTTAAAAACTGATCTGCACCTGGATCTGGTTCAGCCGTAAAAATTTTTTTTTGTTCAGCAGTAAAAATCACCATGTTCTATGGTCAGCAATAGCATTGAATATAAATAATAGGAAAGATGCTCATCTTAACCAAAGCACATAGTATTTTTTTGGACAATAAATAAGTTATTCTGCTCCGATATACAGTATTTCTGTCCGTAAAGAGAGAAACTGTACAGCAGACTGAGATACTGTAGCAAAACACGGTTTCATGGCACAAGTGAAACATTCAGCAAAGAGATCATGTATCACCATATCACTGTATAATACTTTGCCATTTGTTATTTGGTTTGAGTATACTACTGTCACCCAGGCAAAGAGCAAACCAGCATAATGTGGCCTAATCTACAATGGTAGCAGCTAAAAGTGTCACACCCTGATGCAGTACTGTAATGAGCAACACATGTGTTACTACACAATGTTTGTAGGTGGCGATCAGCTTACACCCACAGTTTTCACAGGTATGGTGTACATCCACTACAGCACTGTGGCTGATCTGTTGTCACATCATGCTCCTTTGAGACAATGTTGGCACAAGTCGAGCACATAGGGCCTGTAGATTAAGTACTTTCCTCTCAATGCCGTGAGCTGCTCAAATGTCTGCCCACCATCACTACAAGTCCACATCAGCTACTTAGTGGTCCCTTTGGTATGAGACATTTTTCCTATTCATGTCTCTTGACCTACAGAGCTGAACATAGTTTTAATATGGAGTTCTGTGAATGTAGGTGTAAATGTAAAGTCCTAGACATTCTGAGACACATCTGCCGACACCAAAGACCAAACTCAACCTGCTTCATAATTCTGAGTGTCATTTTCACAACATGACTGCTGCTATGAACCACAGCTGCTACCACCATGCCTGCAGAAGCTTTCTCTTTCTCAAAACCAATACAAAAAGAAAGAACTGGTGGTGAATTCTGCATGCTTTCAAAACATGTGATGCCAGAAATCTAGCACGTACTGTACAATAGTCATCAGTAATTTGCTACTGTATGATGAGTTCTGTGCTTATCATGACTACTAAGTTGAAGCAGGAGCTTTTCCACAATTGCAGCTGTTTTCACTAAGACTAATGCAACAGATGTCATTATTAATGGAAAAAAAGACCTTGTAACCCAGTGAGGACTCCTCAGGTCCTGGTGAATTGGAGATCCATTTAGGTTCAGTGTTGGAGCCTTGCTCTGTCCAGTGAGCTGTAAAGGAAACCCTTTTTGATTTTCATAGCTAATGTCACCAGCTAGTGGAGGTGGTATGAAGAGTACTGAAATCAATGTGGGGAAAAACATCAAGAATTCATTACATCATTTTCAAAGTGGCCCAGTATTTCTCTCAATCTCAAGTAAGTCATCTTCTAGCTGTCTAACATTTGGCTGTGACCTGGCCAAGTGTTGCCTACCTACTGTTGAGCCTCCTGTTGATGCTTTGAACAGCAATACTCCCCCTCAGCGGGCCGACAAGAGACGCTAACACCACGGATGCTACCGTCGGCAGGAGGTCCGTTAAAGAGCCACTAAACAGACTGAAAACAGTTGACTGGACTCAAGCTGCCTCAGATCTCTCTCTCTGATGCCTTTGCTGATTTCTATCTCCCTCGCGCTCCCTCTCTCATAAACACACTCAAAGTGAGATAGTGCACTGATGCACACAGATTTGCACATCAACACATGCAATCAGTTCAGACAGGAAACACATAACATCCTTTAACTGAGGATCAAGGCTTCATGAAATGGGAGTGTACTTGTGTGGGAGAGAGAGACCAAGTTCAAATAAACATCCCAAGTAATTTTCTTCACCCTCTAATTTGTGTATATGTAACTTCCAGTTTATCATCAGCACCGAGTGACCTCAGAGGGAGAGAAAGAGAGTGTATGTGTTAGAGTTGAAAACTCCAGGACTGGTTGTTTGTGTACTCACTGTACTTAAACACATATGTCACAAATATATGAAGTATGTCCATTAAAATACAGTTTCTGGCAAATTGGTTTTAAATGGCACTCCACTGACAGTGTGATGCACTGACAGAAAGCTGTCATAGATAACCTAGGGGTGCTATGCATTTCTTTGAAGGCATTCACAGTGTTGGACTCGCTTGTAAACGTCAAAAGAGATGGAAAGACTTTCGTAAAGAATGGAAATAGAGTTTGTTTTGGAAATTTACAGTAGTTATCAGACATAGGACCTTTGATTCCATTGTCGGAAAAGTGGTTTTCAGACTCTGTTAGAAGATCTGACAAGAATCTTGTTTGAAGCCTAAACATAGGCGTTACTACTTTGCCTGTGAAAACAGTTATATATTGTCTTCTGTTTCTGTGGAGGAGCTTTGTCTAGTCTAAGAAAATAACCAGTTTGAATAACCTCAATTTGAGCTTGGAAGAAGAGGTGGAGTTTGACAGACATGAGCATTTACCAGGCAGGGAGCTTTTAACAAAGGTTGCGTTGCATTATAAAGAGCGTAGGATTTGGTGTTATTTCAAGCTTGATCCAGACTAAAATTCATGATTGAACTGAATTTTAGTTCTGAGAAATGAAAAAGTTAACCAAGTTAAAAATGACTGTGGTAATAGACATCCAAATAATTCTGTAAAACACACTTTAGGCAATGAACATCTGACATTTCATGCATCTGGCCAGGAGTCGTCTATAATTTGACCACATTATTGACAAACCAATTAATGTCGCTGTCCTTACATGCCTCTTAGAAAATGTTCAACTAAAGCACTCTCATTTTGACTTAAGTACCTTCTGTTAAAACCCTGTGGGCTAAAAGCATGTCACTCCTAAAAAAAAAAAAAAAGAAAAAAAAAAGAAAACTATTTTAAGCATAAAAAAACTGAGAAAGGAAGGAAAATGAAGCTGATAAAACATGAATAAAACCTGACTGACCTAGACACAGTAAATCACCAGGGTGGGGCCGGTACTTGTTTCTGTCCTCTGAGTGCCCTCTACTTCTGTGCATGTGTATGTGAGAACGTCTAAGAAAACATAGTAAGGTCATTGTGTCATTGTGTAGTGATAACCAGCTGATTAGACACTTAACTAAACCTCATCTCGGTCTGAGTGAGATCAGAGTTCACCAGCCACTTATTATCTTTATGAGGATTTCCTGAGGCCCAGACACAGGCAGCAGACAAAGCGCAACATCACATGACAGGGCACTCAACATTTTCATGTTTTCTTTAGGAAATGGCTTAAATTTGTAGGTTTCAACAGTATTTCCTTTTCCTCAGACAGAGGAGGAAACTCTGGATCAGGAAGCAGAAGAAGAAGAGGTATCCTGGTATCATGTGCACAATGTTCCCCCCCCAGAATGAGATCCTGTAGATTCACTTTGTTTCTCAGATCATTCAGAATGAGAGTGTTGAATGGAACAAATTCGTTTCCTCTTATGGCAACATGAAGCCCCTAACATAGGAAGATGCCAAGTGGCTCTTTCCACATGTCACATTTACTTGGCCTACCGTGATTACCTCTAAGGTTTCTTTCAGACTGTACGCAGCCGCAAATGGTTCCAAGGAGGGTTTTAGCGCGTACTTGCGCAGCAAAATGTGGCATCCTAAGTTTTGTAATGCAACACAAATGCAAGTGTTATTTCATGTATTCCTGATACAGACACTAATGCAAATACTGTACTGTCATGCTACTCTGAAGTCTTTGTTACATACAGTAGGACAGTTTTCAGTGTCAATAAATAAATAAATAACCAAACAAACAAATAAATAAATAAATCAAGCTGTGCAAAGTTGTTTGTGTTCACAGGCATCTGTATGATATGGCAAACACACATTTCTTTTTTTCTTTTATTGGTGATGATTTAGCCTCTTTTGCAGCAATTTTCATTTTTACTGGACAAATCACATGACCTGATTAAGACCATAGGCCAGTAACTCTTGTCCCCTGTTGGGTGAGCCATGTATTGCATTTACAGCTGCATTTTAATTGGAGCACTGCTGTTTGACAGGAAGGGACACAAAGGAACTGCTCACATACCAGACTCATTCAAACATATTTCCTCCCTGGACACACACACACACACACACACTGAAAAATAATGAGATTTAAACTGGTTTTCATTTTGACATTGTAACTTCTCAGGGCTTTTCAGTGACGTTGACATTATTTTATGGAAAAGGTATAGAACAGGCAGTCAAATCGACTACAGGTGAAATGACACAGGATCAGAAGAGCTTCAACTCCGCAATCTGCAGCAGGCATGTTCAAAACCAGTGTGGAAGCTTGTGTCTGTTCAGCTATGTTCACTGTCTGCTCCCAAACTATAACCAGAGGATGTAAAGGTGCAGATTACTTTAAACCTCAAAATGATGATGGATGAATTATGAGAAGACACAGAGGAAACTGCTTGACTACAGCACGTCAGTTGCTGACAACATGTCCAACTAGTCTTTACACATACAGTATGCATCCGTTTTGACTTCATATTGCTGTCACATATTGACATATTGTCCTTTGAGAATGTGTTCTTCTGATAACCTCTTATCTGTAACAAATCTGTAAACCACTTATCTAACAAAGAAGGAGTATGTTTGTACTGGACGTGCAAAAACACACAGACCACAAAGTCTTTGTGTGGCAAACAGAAACTAAACTGAATGTGCTCTGTGAGATGGAAAGCCCCTGATGTATCACAGCACTGGGCAGTATTCCTATTACATTTCCTCATTACCACATGACAATTTTCAAATGTATGTACTATTCAGTATTACTATAAATATCAGGACATATTTTGTTGATTTATCTCTGGATACTGAATTTGAAATGAAACATTCATGATGTTTTATTTCTCATATTTGCCTTTAGTTTGAGTGTTAATATCCATATTACATGAACAGTGTTATATAGACAGCTCCCAGTTTTATGGGACAGAATATAATTGTAGAAATTAATAGAAATTAACACTGAAAATGCAGTGGGATAATGAGAAAACTTACACATTGTCCTTCACAAGCTCTACCTTCAGCTCTTGCCTGAAAGGCAACACACAGGGCAAAAAAAAAGAAACCATAAATACTGCTGACAAAGCTAAGGGTCAGACAAAGACTTGTACTGGATAAGTGATATAATTGTGAATTCAAATACTTCCTCATACTGGGAATTTGATTGTGTGCGCATGTGTGCTTCTGCAAAGCAGCTATCCCAGGCAGAGTTTGGTGATTTACTTGTCTGAAGACGTTCAGATATTTACGTTAAACTGGTTGACGCTGACTTTTTAAAGACATTTACTGGGTTACATTACACTATTGTTATACACAATGTTAAGGTGTATGTCTGTAGGGTAATAATATGTGTACTAACTCTACTGAAAATCACATTTAGATTCACTAATAGAGATGAGACATACAATGATAAATAATGATGTGTTTTCTTTTTTTTTTAATCAGAATTAAATTCTGGCATCCAGGCCACAGCCTTTACATCCCAATTATGATGGATGGTCAATTCTAATGGTATTTTTGGGAGTACATTTACACACTGGCACCTGTTTTTACACACAGAAGATGTGCTGGGCACTTGCTGTATCACCGTCTGTTGCACTGTTTTATTAGGGGTAATTGCTTTTCTAATGCACAGCCTAACCGTTTACGTAATTATTTATGGACCAAAAATAAATTTCAAATTTTCATGTGTACATATTGAGCAATAACTTTGATGCAGCACATATTCCAATGACTGCCAGCTATTTGCAACAAAATTGTGTGGCTAACCAATGCTCTTGATGCACAGCGAGCGCAGTGTGTGTCGCAAATGAAAAGGTTATAGGTTAACCACTGCCCCAGGTGCAGCAGATTCAGAGAAATGTCCACCCTGCCTGGGAAACAGATGCAGCTGTACACACCACCTATGACAATGACCACAGCGGTTCTTCTACTGCTTCAGTATCACATGTTCCTTGCAACTTTAATGCATGAAAGTGAACACAGGACATGAAATACAAACTCAGGGCAAAGTTTAAACAGATGTATCTACAGCCTGGAATGTGTCCTTTTCCACTATGGTGTACTGTAGTTGGATTTCTTCTTTTTGATAGATATAATCTTTGAGTATTGATGAACTCTATAAATAATTTTACTACCATAATGCAATATTAGCCTGTTATATACTAATAAATACCCTGTTTTCATTATTGCAACATAATGCCTTCAAGAATCCTCATTAACCTGACTGCCGCTGCATACTGAGCGCAGACCAATTTGCTGATGAAGACATGAAAAGTTTATGTGCCTCAATCGTCCATTGGAAAGTGTCACCGAGACAAAATGATAAAAAGATTTTCACAAAAGACTCAGTCACCACAGTTGTGCTATTCTTTGATGTCTGCCATAACTCCACATGGTTTTTACCATTAAACAGTATTACATCACTGGTGTCCAAGATGCAATATTTTTGCATGTAAATTTGCATTTGGTATGTAAATACCTTTAGTACTGTACGAGCGCCTGGTGCTACTGGTGCCCTCTGGATTCTTTCTGTGTGAGATTTATACCTTTATACATGTGCAGTATGGTGCTATATGATTTTTACACAGTGAAGGCCCAAGAACGATTGTCTATACTGCTTATTTTGCATTGTTTGCACTGTTTGTTGCTTGTTAATACTGTTTATTTTGTTATATTACACAGCCTTATGCTGCTTTACTGTTTACTTGCCCCTTGCATGGAAATATGTAAATGAGAGCCGATGTACCAGAGTCAAATTCCTCATGTGTCTGACACACCTGGCCAATACAGCACATTCTGATCCTGATTCTGATTATAAAGTGAGTACTAGTGACCGATGTGGTGCAGGATTGTTTGGTACTGTTTCAGCTTCACAAAGTGACAAAAGCAGAACAGAAAGTGAATACCATACTTTAGTTTACAAACCCATCTGCAGCAGTGGGCTCATAGAAAGCTGAAATAGTACGACTAGATCTGCTTTTCTCTACCTGTGCCTTCTGCTATGCATCATCACTTTCTGTGTCCAATTATGTCAATGACACTCCACAGGAAACGCACCAACATTACACTTCCACACCAGCTGCAAAAGGATTCCTCTCTAGACTACCACACAGACATATGCACATACAGTATACACTGCACAAGTTTTTCACTGTGACTTCTCAAAGATTAAAAATTGTACTGTAACTGTGTGTCTGTTCAAAGAGAGGTAAGAGGCAGGAAGAGAGAGAACACACACTGAAATTTTGCTCTGACCGCATGCCCACCCTCCTTCTTTTCCTCAACAGGGTCAAAAATGAGAGCACGTTTCCAGTAAATGTTGCACTTTCATTTCTTGTATCTGACACAAACCCTGCTGTGGAATTACTGCAGCACAAACTGACATACATTACGGACTCTGGAAAATTAAAAATATCTGTTTCTGTAGAGAAAAAATAACCACTCATAGATTTGGCTTTGTTTTGAGTCCAGTGCTGAATTTAAATAATTAAAAGCAGATCCAAACTGAACCAAACCAAGCCCATTTACATCACACCAGGATTTGGTCTTCCTGTACAACATTTTCTACACAAACCTCGGTGGATTTTGATGGTTTTACAGATATCTACTCTCTGCTCAAAATGACAAAATGTTGGTCTCTCTCAAGAGAAACACTGCTGTGAACTCCCAGCAGTGTCATTTTTCATCTGCACTACATACTGCTTTTTTCTCTGCCCCTGCTGCAGTGATGAAAGTAACAAAGCACATTTGCTAAAAGGCTCTTCAGCTGAGATAGGTGCTTCTACTTTATTTGCATACATCAGTTTTATGCTTCTTTATTGTTATAGTCCAATGCATCTATCCATCTGTCATCTATACCTCGCATCCTAAACAGGGTCGCAGTGGGCTGGAGCCAATCCCAGCTCATGCTGGGCGAGAGGTGGGATACACCCTGGACAGGTCTGGTCCAATACATTTCAGAGGCAAACCTTAATATACAGCAAATATATTTTTACCTACAGCATTCACTACTCGACTGATGTCCCCAACAGATAAACTTTTAAAAGGTGAAACTAGTTTTCCACTAATCATGTCATGACTCCCAGATTTATCTCGTGACCCTTTGGGGATGTGTCAACCCAATCGTTGGACTAAACTACTAAACCATATATAAAGTCCCCCCCACTCAGCAGTAACAGATTCATAATATTATATTAGTTTATCAGTCACAGGAAAGTACTTTTAGCTGTTAATACCTTTATAATTTACTGAAGTTGGTTTCGAATGCAGTTCTTACTGGTAACAGTTCCACACTGTGGATTCGGTTCTTCTACTTTTACAACCTGAGGCCTTCAGCCACCATTGCACCATTGACTCTTACATCTCAGCCATGCAACCTCATTTTTAGAGGTGTAAAACGGAGCAGAGCATTACTGTAATTCATTTACAGTGTGGTTAGGCCACAATAAGCAGACTAACATCTGACACATTCTAAAATAGGACGTGATCTGCTGCACAGCCCACTTGTATATGTGTGTAATAATGATTTTTGTCATTACATCATATTCAGCTTCTGTAATCAGGCTCCATTCAGTAAACTGTAACAACACAGTATTGTGCTTCATTCTGCATTTTGCTCTGCTGTTTTAAATTCTAGACATTTGATGTTTATAAGGCCAAACCATTTCTTCATTCTGCCAATAAAATATATTTTTAAGGAAAAGGTTAAGTCAAATAAAACCAACTTTATTTCCCCCTGCTGACTTTCAGTGGAGCTGTTTTTTCTTTTACATGTTTTACTTTTTGACAGCATATAAAATGAGTGAGTGTTGAAGGTACATGATGCGTCACTCATCCTGTAGTGTAGCTGTTGCTCTTCAGCCTACGTGAAATGGAAATTGCTCATGCTGAGCTGAAGTGGTTTCATGAGAAAATGCATACTGTAAGTTTACGTCGGACTTCCTGATTGTTCTCAGTAGTGTAGACTGAAAGGTGCTGCTACAGAAACCGGAGGTGCAGAAGCGAACACATTTAGATAACAGCACCAAAATTTAAATGTGAATAAAAGTGTAATGTGAGAAGGTAAAAATAACTGCAATGATGAGCCTCTCCAACTTAAATCTGCAACTTTCAAACTCCAGTCAACAAGCAAAGACAATGTTAAGGTGAAATCTCTTAGTTGCTTCATTTACCACTTGTAAAGAGGGAAAAACGATCAAATCAAACAACCAAAGCAGCGGACATAAACCTTCTACTGAATGGTTTTGAAAAGCACTCCTGATACCCATGTTAATAAACACAACCAGAAAATGAAACCAGATAAAGACAGACACGTCACAAGATATCCCTTCACTGGTCACTCAACCAGGGCAGATAAGTAAAGCCTCCAGCGACCTCATCTGAGAATACATCCATGTAATAAGTAACAAAAAGCGGATGTAAAGAGATAAGAAGAAGTATAAGCTGAAGTCAACAACATAAGTGTGCTAGGCTCAGCAGAATGAAGGCAAAGTCTAAACTTACATGAAATCCCTCTGTTCCCGAATACACATCTTGGTGCTCGGCTTGGAGCACCGTGCAAATGATTTCTTCCTCACGGACGGAGCGAACATGTCAGCAGACATGACGGCGGTAGCACAGCACAGTATACCAGCATACTTTTAAGCCACTTGGAAGGAAGAAGCACGGATGTACGCTCGGATGGGCCGAGACTAGAATGGTCACCGATTTGAAGTAAGAGGAGAGGTTAGATTTGGAAGAACAGAAGCAGAACACAGATGAGTGAAAAAAGGTGGAAAATAAATAGAAAGATGGATTAATGGGGGCTGACAGTAAAAGTATAGAGAAGAAGCAAATAGAAGAGTTAGTTGTGTTGATTAGGAAGTCTGTTGGGGGTCTGAACTCTTGGTACACCACCAGTCATTTCCTGAAGGGGCCTCCTCCTCCTCCAGCCCTGGCTTCTCACTGGTTGACCGGCTAAAGCATGTTCCTTCCTGCTTCTGCACAGCTAGTATGTGATTGGCTGCTGTATGCAACCCACACTATTACACACACACTTGTCTCACATACTTGGACCGACAAAGTGGGACTTTCCATCCCTTAAAACTGGAACAATACAGAGGTCGAGCGCATGTATACATACATCATGAATATGACCCTAAATGTGTTTGTTCCTGTTCCGTGCTACCTTCTAGTTTGTAAACACTTAAGTGTGTTACTGTGCTGCAAGTGCTCAAGTGGTTCTGCAACTTCCCTATGTTCTTGTACACACTTTACACTTTTCTTCTCCTTATACTGTAAAATAAATTCAGAATGCATTGTTGTAGGTGACTTTATCTAAATCTACAGTAACTGAAATGCTTCTTGGGATTTGGAGTTGGTTCTTTTGCCTTCAGATGTTATGCACACAGCCTTTGACTTTTTCCCAAAGAACCTGATTTTTTTTTTAAACGTTTGTACTGATTATTCAGCTAGGAGTGTTTCATGTCTAGTGAAGCCTTGAAGTGCTCCAACTGTAACCTAACATTGTTTGCATACAACATGAGGCTGGTTTTATTTTTAGGACACTAAATACCTGGAATAACTCTTCCCACTTCCTACTCAATAAATGAGCTCATTTGCGATGCACAGCTCCCCATCTGGAAAGCAGACAACAGCAGGTGGCAGCAGCAGGGGAAGGTGACAGAAAGCAGCAGTAAAGGTAAAGCTTGCCACCAGTCTTTATGGTCTATACAGGAACATACACAGAAACACAAGATACAAGTTCTCATTGTTGATCTGTCAGGTTATACTCCCACAGATTTTGTACAGTTGTTATTTTAAGAATCTTCACATCCTGCCTACCACCTGTTTCTGCGTCAGACTAAATGAATAATATTGTAGTGTAGAACTATCACAGGACTGTCTGCAGTCTATCAGAACAATGTGTAATATTATCTGACTGATAAAATCCACCACATTCATTTCGTTAACAGACTAACAGATCAAAATCTCTTTCATTAGACAACAAATGAAAAGTTTCTATAAAATGTATGTTGATCTAAAATCTAAACCATTCAACCCTGAGACTAGGCGAGTGCCAGATGTTTCCCATCATGCCCTGAGCTCTTGCAGTCAGTGGAGAGCAACTGCAGCATCTGGCTCCAAAAGCTGCAGCTGCCTTGATCTTATGAAAATACTGTTGCCTGCATTACATCAGAGCAGGTCAATCTCAAGTCAGACAAAAAACTAACCAGCATGAATTGTGTGGCAATGGACAGTGATCAGTTCTGCACAGATCTGGCTTATCTTGTTTACAGACCAAACATCCTAAAAACTCCCTTCAAAGGTAGTGTTGGCGATTCATTCCAGAAGCATTTATTGTGACATTTTCTTGAAATTCTCTTTTCATCCTGATGATAACGAATACATTAAATGCAACATAAAGAAAAAAAATCTGTCACCTGTGGCAGCAGCATTTCATTCATCCCAAGCAAAACCATTGGATAGCCTACCTGCCTGTCAATCTAAATTACCACTTGTGTGCACTCTGCCTGTGCACGCAATGCATGAGCCAAGAATCTCTCACAAAGCCAGGCAGGTTATGTGAGAAATGGCAGAGAAGGTACTCACAGCAGCTGAGACTGTATTTGAGAAAGTTATTCCTGAAGCGTGTGATTAACTATGCAGAATGCTAGAATAGCTACACATTGCCTCTGATCAAACTAAAAAAGATAAATGTAATGTATCTGAAATTAGAAATCTGTAACAACTGGCAGTGATTTCTCTCTCTCTCTCTCTCTCTCTATATATATATATATATATGGTTGCAAAATGCATCAGAAAAACAAGATTGCAGCCCCTATATTCACATTATTTTGGCTTCACTTTTGCATGGTGACAGGAAGTGGTTATGAGCCCTCCAAGTCTATGCTCTGAACACTGAACACGAGAGTGACCACAGAGGTGACAGAGAAAAGTCACTGACTGACAGGATTCAGTTTCGTTGGCTATTTAGTTCCATTTTCTTTTTTCTGTTCCAATTCACCTGATCACTGACTCCTTTTTTTTAAACTCTGTTTCTCTCTTTGCACCCTGTATTCTCTCCTTGCCTATTCAATTTATATGAGATCACAATGCCTACATAATACATAATTCCATTTGAAGTGTTCACTTGGTCCCATTATGTCATCATAGTCATAAATTTTTATTGTGACTTGGCTAAGACTGACTCTCTCCACTTACAGCTTAGCAATTTTCATGAAGTGCATGATGTAAAACATAAGGTGTGCCACAAACTGACACTGCAGTTTCACCTGACAGCACAATCCATAGTTTCATAAACAAAAAGTTAATTTGTGAGATGGATATGAGATAATAGGCTACCTTGTTCCTCTTAGCTCCACCATGTTTACACTTGTATATGGAAAAGCTTCACATTACAGACATGTCTTCGAAGCTGTCAAACTAGGCCAGAATAAAATTCAGCATATTCCACTATAATAACCAACTTAGGATAAAACATGCAATTGTAGTGCTCTGAAATTTCACATGTTGGTTTGGGCCATTATCAAGCATCACATAGGCGTAACTGTGCTCATGCACTTTCTGTACAGTAATTTACAGATACTCTGATTTGAATGTACTAAGATACTTGTTGTATCTGACATTTTGTCAGCTATTATACCTTTGCTTTGAAGAAATGTTTCATTTAACTGTATTTCTTAAAGTTGGAATGGCTTTCTTTCACACTGAAAAAAAGGAAACACCGGGTCTTTGGATTTACACAAATTATGCTAGTATATGCAACGCAATTCATTCATATTTCCTCTGTTAACATAATTCAAACAAGTTAACCCCAGAAGAAAATTATGTTGGTTTTACACATTATCATTGTGTGGGACCGATGTACACATTACAATCAAGTAAATCCAACAAATCTTTTTTTTCAGTGCATCAAGCCCAAGTTGAAATACATCCTTCATACTTGTGAAGAGAGACAACAGCTTAACAGCAGGACAAGCTGGAGGGATTCATTATGTTGAAAAATTATAAAATGGGATACTTAAGTATTAGTGCTGCCCACTGTGTTACACATACTGATCTCAAAGGTCATGAATAAATGTACATGTTCCAAATTGTTCTGAATTGTATTAAGAACACTACCAGACCAGTAGAGTTTACTGAGTTAAATGCACTTAACTTTCACTGAGGGAAAAAGGCCTACAGTAGTGTACCACTAAATATTTCACATTCATTGTGTGTTCAGATGTAACAAAAAATAAAACCTTCTCACCACAAACTAGTCAATGAAAAACATGAAAAGGAGAAAAGCAGATCTACACACCACTGTAGCGTGACCCCGCAGTGGAGCTACCACCAGCGGAACATGGCTTCAAACTGAAGTATTGGTGTACACTAACACTAAAAGCCGGTATACTTTCAACATTAACATGAGAGTAACTGATACAATAAACAAGCTGTACACTTCAGTAGGGTTATTAATAAGGATATTTTGTGATAGTGATGTAAAGATCACAGTATGGTAAATGTGTGCAAAAATATGAAATAATCTGAAGTTCAAAATTAAACTCCTTCAGTAGTGATTGTCCAGTCTTATCTTTGCAAGCAGAATTTGAATTCTCGCCTGCTGAAAAGGGGAAATGTATTAGTGTGTGAAGAGTTTGGGTGGTCACCTTTGTAAAACACACACACAAAAAAAAAAAACAGATGAAACTGTGTTTGCCTGCTGTAATTTCAGCTGAGTGGTTAACAGCTGTACTTCCAAGGCTAAGTATTGGCATATCATTAGGTAACTATACTGTACCATTAGTTGGGGAGGTAAAGTTTTTAAAAGCCCTGTTCAAGCCTAACACATCCACCGGGGAAGCTGGTGCAACACTGACCCCAGATGCTCCTACAGTACTGTATATCAAAGGTCTGAGAAACATTTATAACTTTAAAGTTGACTGATGTCACAGTGAGAGTTTTCACCCAGCTCACAGAGTTAATGTTAATTAGCCTAGCTGAGTAGGTAGAGCTTATAAAATCTGCCAGCCACAGTAATTATTTTTGTCAAGAACCCACAGTTTCAGACAGTTCTAAGAAATCTGCACTGTACATAGCAACTAGGCTAAGGGTAAACTGTGTAACAGTCATTGCACTACACAAAACAAAACTCATATCTTTAAAACAAAAATTCAGATAATAAGTTATGCTTATAATTATACTTTGTAATTACAGCTTTATGGTAATAATTTGAACTACAGAAAGATGTAGAATGATGCAAATCTGTTGAAATTCATCCTTTAAAAGCAACCATACTATATGAACTGTAAAAGCATGCAACACAGAAAGCATGATCTTGCTGTGTGTGGCGCTCTCCTTCTGATAAAACAAACCTAGCAACATTGCATCCATGTTTTAACATATCCTTTGAAAAGCAGTTGATAAAGTGCACATCTTGTATAAACTGTTTGTAAATTTAGATCCAGCTTACCCATGGAGAGCTGCATCAGCTATGTAGCTCCTCTCTGTGTGTCCGTGTCATCAGTGGTTTGAGCCCTGCACAGCTCTGCTTCAGCCCAGTTCACTTCCTGGCGTGGTGTTTCAGAGCGACTGCACAAAGTGTCACGACACCCTCGCTTAAACCACAAAAGAAACTGGCTGCAGCACAAACAGACAGGCAGACCTACAAACCAGTAAAGAAAAACTTTCTACCATTAAAAGCACTCCTTGGCTGTATTAACTGTTTTATGGAGTCACATTAACCCTACTTGGCAGGGTTTGGTTAAAGTTCCTTAAATCTTTACCAGAAATGATAAGCTATGACAGCATTGTGTATATATTTAGACTACTGTGAAATTTTATCTGCCTGTATGATTGTAGCTAGAACTTCATAAC